TGTTGTCTGTTATTTGGGCTGTCCGAACTAACCTTTGTTGTTTTCAAGATACCCAACAGCTGCTAAGACAATTTAGAAAAATGACCCATAAACTCAACCCTAAGTGATCATGTTTCCTCATGTGGTGCTATTGTTCTTTCATTTCAACAGAGGTCCAACTAAAACATTTTCATGAATTAGAAGTGTCAAACTATTCAACCCTGCTGTTAAGTGAAGACAAAGATGTTCTATATGTAGGAGCCAGAGAAGTGATCTTTGCATTAAATGCGGTGAATATTGCTGAAAAGCAGCACGAGGTATGCATTTTAATACATTATCCTCCATGTTAAAAATCATACTTGAAATTCTACTTCATTTCTTGATATCAGTAGCACCACCTGAAGGTGGTAGGTACCTAAAAGAGAAAACACTCTGTGTGGGCTACTCCTGTGTTATTTCTGGAAGACGCTATAGAGTAAAACATGCCATCAGATGAGAGGAAGAAATGAGAAGTTGGATATAAACAAGTAGTTAGAGGTCTCCTGAGCTATTTTCTTTTTGGGAACAGGGTGGAGGGACTGTAAGGACTTTGAGTATCATCTGTAGTGGTAGTTCTTATACGTGTTTTTATTATCAGGAGTTAATCTGAATCAGGAGGTAATCTAATCCGCAACAAGCAAAGTTGGAGCTTGCTCAGGAGTGGCAGGCTGCAGACATACCTCAAATGAAATGAGGGCCCTGTCCTTTCTCTTTCAGCTTCTGTTTTGTGTTTCTGGATGTGTCGGCACAGCAAGCAGTGGTGCAGACAGGTCTGATCCAGCTTGCTCAGAAAAGTACTCTGGATGTGCTGTCACTGGCTTCTTGGACTAGATTAGCCCATGCAGAAGTCTGTTAACATTGTATTGTTTCCAGTCCTTCCGCAGCTCCTGCTTCTCATCCCATCAGCAGCACAGGATGGCAGGTGCAGCATGGAGTCCTACCCAAGACGTTTTGGAAGATGCTCCTATGATTTTTAATCTGAACAAAACGTTCACAGGTGGTGGTGGGCAATTACAGCAGCATACAAAATTTGGTTTACGAGTGTATGTAACTGTCAAAGTTGTACTTCTCCGTATAGTGAAAATTGTTTTCTTTGCCCCCCTGCAGTGTTTTTCATTCAAGTGTGAATGAAATTGAGAAGTACTTAAAACTCTTACATTTCCCTAATGCATATGGTAATGGAAACTTCATTAGCAATTTGAGGGGAAACATCATGATGAACCCAAAAGATAATAGCAGTGGTTTAGCCCTGTTTAAGGCACATGCATTTGGAAGTGTCACCTCCCCAGGAAAGAATGGCTTTGAACTTTTGAAAGCTACTTGCAAAATGGCTTGCATTTGCTGCAAATAGTCCTGTGAAGGATTGCCTTTTTTGTGTGTTACTGCAGATTTTTCAGACCTTGCACTGAGTTAAAGTGCTTTGAATGTGCCTTTTTATTGCTTGTTTTTTCACTTAGTTGCACTGGAAGGTCACTGAAGATAAAAGGACTAAATGTGCAGTCAAGGGCAAATCAGAACAGGTATGTACTTTTATTGAACTTTGAGAAAGATGTTACACATTTTACTGCAAGAGGAGTGATGTTGAAAGAAGAAAGGCTCCAACTGTTTGAAATTAATATTTTTCAAATAATCATCTAAATTCTTTAATTAACTTGAGCTTTAGAAACTACAACACATTTAGTCTTTTGTTGTTGTTATTAATTCATTCATTCATTCATGTTGTTAGTTCATTATTTCTTGCTGGTGAATATTATTTGAATGTTTGAAAATCTGAACACACCCTGATGTACGCTTGACATGACAAGTTTTTCCATTAAAATGGTAAACCAGTATTACTTTCACTGAGGTAATTGATAGCAACTGTTGTGTTTTGTTACTGCAATAATTCCTCCCCAGCATTTGATTTTACAAAATGACTGATAAATTTTGTTTGCTTTGCTTTAGAGCATAGGGTTTACTTACTACACCAGTGCTGCTCAGCCAGTGTATTTTTCACTAATTTACACACACCCTTACTGCAGTGCTCAGCAGGTGTGCCCCTTGCGGCAGCACCTTGCTGGTGTGACTGCTCAGCCCCTGGGATCGCTTGGTGTTTCTGGGTACCACGGACTCCTCGTGACTGCCAGCACACAGGCTGGCTTGCTCATTTTGCCTTTCTGTGGAGATGTTTTACTTGAGGTGGTTGAATGTATCTGGATGTACCTTTCCCCTTTTGTAGTGCCCCTTCATTTAGTGATAGGGTAGACTGGGGGTTTGCTGGGCAAGACTGATGGTCAGGCTTTTAGCACAGGTTTGAAAGTGGAAGTCTGCAAGCCCTGTGAATACAAAAAGCCGTCCTACTCTACACTGGCAGGGATTTGACATCAGCACCCCTGAACCTGTAGCCTCTTTGTTGCACATTGTCACAAAACCCCAGGTGCTGCATCTGGGGTTGATAGGCATCCTGCACTCATGGTGTCACCGAAATTGGGAGGAATAAACCTCGTAACACCAATGTAGTGTTAAAAGGCAGGCATTCTTTATTCACAGCGCCGGATGCACGGGGGATCGCTCCACCTAACGTGCATCCCTGGCACCTGGTCCAATCAGGTTATATTGATCAAATACATGCATATTCATTACATTCATACATAATCAATAATGTCCTCTCTAATGATTGGTCCAAATTCTCCCGCTTCCTATGTAAATGACTGCGCAGACTCAGTTGTGCACTTCCATTGTTCTCTTTTGAGGAGGTGGTATCATTTGGGTAGGTGGTCAATGAGTCGGTGGTCACGATCTCCCCCTGCCGGAATTACCTCCTACCTACTGGGCTCTCTATCTGGGTAGTCCTAGCCAACTTTCTTGGTCCGTTGCATGGAATTACCCTTCATCTTCTTCCCCTGACAGGTGCACATTGTCTATAGCTTCAGCTACATTAAGAATGACCTTAAAACTACAGACCATATATTGTTCTCATTGTCCTGAAGTTAGTGTTCAGCTGGGTAGGGCTGTACAGAAGAGAGCACAGCAGCATTCGTGGTTGCATTTTGTAGTTAACCGATTCGATCCCATCACCCCAATGCTGAAAACTAAGATACACAACAATTTCATCATCATTTTGGTTACAATGGGGCTCCTCCAGGTGGGAGTGGGCGCTCTCTCCCTTGGCTCAGCTTATTGCCTTTCCTTCGACTGAAAACCATCAATACATTATCCTAACCTGAGGTGTGGTGGGTATTTAAGGGCCATTTCCTCCTTGTGTGCCTTTTCACCATTGCATTGGGAGATTACTTGGCCATGCTACCCTGATAGGTGTAGAGGCAGCTGTGCATTACTGGCTGCAATCTCCAGATGCTGGAGGATGAGAGCCTCTGGAGATTGTAGGGAGATGGTGTTTCAGTGGTGATTGTGTCACCTAGCCTTACTGGTGTGGTGTGGCATAAGTGGCGGCAACAGATGAGCTGACAGCACAACTTTAATTGTTTATTTGTGTTGGAACGTGGAAGCTGTGGTTTATCAGACTTGTCCTTTTCTCATTTTTTCATTCCTCTCCTCTATTGCAGACAGAGTGTCGTAATTATGTGCGTGTCTTGCAACAACTGAACGACACTTCTCTTTATGTGTGTGGAACTAACGCATTTCAGCCAACATGTGACTACCTGGTAAGAATGTACATACGTTTCGGCCCAGAAAAACTGTAACTTAAAAGCAGCTTATTTAAACAATGGGTTAATCTCCATTTCCAAAGACTGTTGCAGTGTCAGTGCTGGTCATAACATTTGGAGCATTTATTATGCTCTCCCATGGTAATGGTAGAGTATGGAAACAAACTGTACTGTTTCTTTTTCAAAGCACATACTAAATTATTCATCTGTCTCGTTTAGCTATGGATTTACTTTTTTTTAGCTTTCACAATTCTTTCTGTATTTTTTGTTAGCATAAAAACAATTTCTTAAACTGAAATGACATTCTTCATGACTTCCATCCCTTACTGAATCTTCCTGAAATTTCTCAGATCCCTGTCTCTGCTTGTCTTGTCTCTGCTCCTGGCTATGCCGCTGCTTCATAATGCTGAATGCTTTAGAGTGAACTCTTGGAGCAAAAGCGAAACTCCCTTTTCTCGCTGCTGACTCTTGTACCTTTCTCCTTACTGTGGCTCTTAACAATCCTGAAATTGAGAAATCTTTTTTGTCTCCCCTGCCTGCAAGTCTGCTTGCCATCACCTCTAGAACATTGCCAGATGTCACTGCCCTTAGCCTCCAATGTCTTCATTGCACAGTATAAGTGATCACTTCCCTAGTAGTGTGGCTACAGTTCTCTGTCATATTCCTGATCCTCATTCCCTTGGTTTTTAAGACATTTATAAAGTAGCAGCCAAAGTATGCTGCTTTTTAAAATTTAGTTGGATTATGCCCTGTCTCACAAATATGACATAATCTTGAAAACTGCTAAATCCACTTTAGAAAGCCTTCTTGATTTCTAAAACTCTCCTTTTTTGTGAGGGCTAATTCAGTAATTGCCAGCTCTTCCATATATCAATTAACTTCTCTGCTGTTCCTCCTGTCTGGCTTTTTTGGGTGCTCTTTCTTGAGGTCTGTCTGGATTTAACTTTCCGACTTCTTTTCTGCTTCTCCCCTCACAAACCGTAGGATCACATTTCCTCTCTGTCTGCTGGACTCGATAAGATTTTCTGAAAATATATACACCTTTTATAATCTTACCAAAAATGCCTTTGATGCTGGAAGTTGATCTTATAGTCTATTATTTGGTGTTAATTTTTCCTTTACCATTGCACAAGTCAAGTGGCTGAAAGAAAAAGTGCTAACAGTTGTTTTGTAGTTTTCTACTTAATTTTTTGCAGAATTTAATTTCATTTGAACTTGGAGGTAAAAATGAAGATGGTAAGGGCAGATGTCCATTTGATCCTGCTCAAAGCTACACATCTGTTATGGTTGGTAAGTTTAGACTTTGCATACCTCATTATTATGTATAAAAATGTTTGATCTTTTCCACTGTCATTCTCCAGTCTCTCAATATCTAAATGATAGATTGCATCCATATTTTTACATCTTCACTGTGTATCTAGATAGACATTAAAACACTTATGTAGTCAACCGTAGCATGTTTCTTTAAAAGGAGAACTTAAAGCTCTAGGTTGTTTTGGAAGCAGCTTTTAAGATACTGATTTTTTTAATCTATATTTTCAGGTGCTTAACATATTTAGTCGAAGTAGTCTAAACATACTTTGACTGCCTTTGTAGTATCAAGTATTGTCATTTCAGTAAATTTAACAAGTAGATTTTTTTTAGCTATCCTGAGGACACATCCATGAATGTGTCAGATATTTATTGTGAGCATATTACTGCATGGTTAAATACCACTGAGTCTTGGTTTGGTGAAACCGGAGTGCATGGCTGAACCGTGGTGTCACAAGATCATAAAAGAGAAGCTCAAAGTAACACAAAACAGGAAATGAGAAAGAAAAGAACACACTCCCTGCATTGTTGCCTAAATTCTTAAAAGTTGAATTTGAATAATAGTGGTGTAGAAAAAGAGTAAAATAATTACTTCCAAAAATTCTGTGGTATTTCTTAAGTAAATTTGCATGTCTGCACGTAGTCTATAGGTTTACATATTAAGTGTTCAAGTACTACAAAAACAATGCTGACTTTTGCCAGTTGCTTGTGTTGGAGCAATAATAAACCCAAGTGTAGAAGTGTTACCCTTGAGAATGGTCAGCAGAAATGTAAGCATAGAAGACGTGTCTGGGGCAATTTAGAGGAAATCTTTGTTTATCTTTTCTTGTGGGAAGTTTAAGCTTACATAGTCTCTTGAAATATTTATGCACCCTTTTTGGTATCCAGTGCATAAGGAAGTCTTAAAATATTTGGTTTTGTGTTAAAGATGAGGAGCTTTATTCTGGGACTTCTTACAATTTCTTGGGAAGTGAACCTATCATTTCACGGCACTCACATCAGAGCCCTTTGAGAACAGAGTATGCAATACCTTGGCTTAATGGTAAGTGGACATGAGAACCAGCCCAACCAAATTATTTTTCCTTCTTCAGTGTCACACTTACAGACTAATTGTTTAAGTGTCTTACCTGGGGTAAGGAGTAATTGTCTAATACTTCAAAGAGAATGGATTTTGTTATACTGCCATACACTGACATGTGAGTACGTGCCATTGAGAGATTTTATTTTGAAATTTCAGGATTTTTATCAGCATTGACAATGAAAACAGCTTCAAGACATACAGGCTTCAACTTGTCCTTAAAGGGCCACAGGGTTTTTTTATATCTACTTGTTTGTCCTTGCAATAGTACAGCATAGTTATGATATAGTAAGGAAAAGAATGGGTTTGTTCTCTTAATGGGTTTTCGGATGGAGCTGATCATGGTGGCTCCTGATGCTTTCAGTTCCTGAATGTCAAAATTCACCAAGTTTTGTGAATGCTCAGAGGTTTGTGGCTTTCTGCCAAAAAGAACCAAAATGAAGCTAGCATATTCCAAAAGATGCATTATGTCCAAAAAGTACAGGATACTGAGTTCTGTAATGCCTGTTGTAAAGGTACTGTAATTTTTAGTGTTTCAGCTAATAGCTGAAATAGAGGAGATGCTAGCAAGGGAGGGTACCTCTCGAGGCCCATTAGAAAACCACTCTTGAATGAAGAACATTGAGCAACATACCAGGCCATAGAGATCGCTCATGTATCTTAGTGCTTCCACATAGGGTTTGTTTTTTTTTCTCTATTTCTATTTTTTTAGAAATGCTATTCATATTATGAACAGCAAATTGTGTAGGCAGGTCAGTGACTGGAGAGCAGGTAAACGCATTCTGAGGTTTGGGTAAAAGATGACTCCTAGAGGGTCTTTGAGGGAATCAGGTTAGTAGTCTCATATATAATATAAAATTTTTCTCTTGTATCTGTAGAGCCCAATTTTGTTTTTGCTGATGTGATAAGAGCAGATCAAAACAGCACAGACGGAGACGATGACAAGATATACTTCTTTTTCACTGAGGTGTCTGTGGAGTATGAATTTGTTGGAAAACTGATGATTCCAAGAATAGCTAGAGTGTGCAAGGTGGGACATAGTTCAATTTACTTCTACTTATTCAACTGTAATTTTCTGTGTGTTAGGAAGCATTTATTATTGTGGACTTACTGCCAATTAAATGGAAGTGGTTGAACTTAGTGAATCTTAATGAATCAGCAGTTTCAGTCAGTTCTTCAGAACTGTGAGAAAGCCTGATTGTTGCTTTGGGAACAAATACTTGATTTGATTTTGCACAATGGTGAAATTTCAGTACATCTGAGGGTTCTGCCCACCCCTGGGGGCAAAAAAAACAGCCACCACAAAACCCAGCAACAGAAAGTGTCTCCCCTGGATTTCGTTTATATTTTTTTTAACAACTTTAAGTACTGCTCCCTGGGAAGAACTGAGTTTGATTGGACCTGAGCAGCTAGGATGTTTGTCAAGTTACTTTCAGGTTAGCTGTACACAAACAAAACTGTAGCTGTGTCCACAGAAGAGTAGCTCTTGACTGTGGTGTAGCAGATGGGAATTCCATGAAGCTGTTAGACCTGCCAGAGCCTTGAGTAAGATGGTCACCAGCAGTCTGATTCCGTCACACTGGCTGCGTTTAAACCTCAGTGTGTTAGGCTGACTGAAGTACATACTCAGGACTGTTGGTTAAAAATCTTGCTGATGAAAATGTTTTTTCCAGGAGAAAATGTTGATTTAACAAAAAACTTTGCAGTGGAATGTATCAATTTCCTCAGGATTTTTTTTTTCCCCAACAGGAAATTTATCTAACTGTTTCATTTTGATGAGGTTGAAATGTTTTATTTTGACTTTACTGTTTTATATTTAAACATGGAAGTCAAAACATCAATAACAAGTTAGTGCCCTTGAGATTTCCATTAAACAAGCAGCTGGAGGCAAGTTTACGTGGGATTTATTATTATGGCCCTCTGCCCACTGGCAGCTTGTGCACCCTTTAAAAGTATCGTGGAATATTGAGAGCTTTATTTCTGCTCTTTGTTTGAAATAGGAATCAATGGTGGGGTGCAAATCTATAAGCATTTATACTTAATTGTTTTCATAAATTTTGCATATTTCCTTTAATACTTTGCATAAGAGCATTGGATACTGAATGGGAAATAGTGTGCAAATATGCCTGCTTTTTGAAGAAAAGTAGCAGAACTACAGCTTAAGTATCAAATATTTTGCAACATTTCTGGTCAATATATCTTTACTTCTTTAAGCCTTGGTTCTGCAAATCCTTAATAAAGGTGGTAACTGCTTGCAGGATCAAGCCATTGCTGCATTTCGTCTAATGAAATCATTAATATCAGGCAAGTTTAAGTGCATATTGCAACATTAGAATTTAAATCACATTATAGATGTCACAGAACAAACACAATGTTACTTATTTATCTTAAGGAACAGTATAGTACTTCCATGGTCTTTTTTACTTGTTCTAATAAGCAAGTTTTTTTCTGAGGGTACATTGCTCATCTCAATTTTTGAACTGTTGCTGAAGTATGATTCTTTTGCAAGTCTCCTATCTCATCTGACTTCTCTGTGTTGATAGAAACCATTCTGCATTATTTTTGTTGAATCAACTAATTTCCCTGTGGCTTCCTTACCTTTCTGTTTGTGAACGTGTTGACATATATTGATATTGTTTTGGATGAAATGCTAGAAAGTAATAGGGCTCAGTAATGTCATGCTGTATAGCAGTGGTTCTTAAATGCAAAAATTCTGCTAATTCTCCTCACAAACACCTTTCTATTTTTTAATGTCAAAAGAGGGACCAAGGAGGATTAAGGACTTTGCAGAAAAAATGGACTTCCTTTCTCAAGGCCAGATTGATTTGTACCATCCCTGATAAGAATTTAGTTTTCAATATCATCAATGATGTTTTTATTCTCAAGTCTCCAACTTTGAGGGAACCAGTGATATATGGAGTCTTCACCCCACAACTGTAAGTGTGGTATAGCCTTTTCCTGGATAAGTACTCTTAATCTCAGTTGTTTACTATAAGTAATAATTAACTCCTATGGGGTTTTTTTTTTTCTTTCTTCCTGAACTTTTAGGAATAATGTGGGGCTGTCAGCAGTATGTGCATACAATCTGTCTACTGTAGAGGAGGTTTTCTCAAAAGGAAAATACATGCAGAGTGCTACCGTAGAACAGTCTCATACAAAGTGGGTACGATACAATGGGGAAATTCCTAATCCTCGACCTGGTGCAGTAAGTTTCTGTAATCTTGGATCTGATGACTGGTCTTTTTTTAATGCTCAGGAGTAAAGAAACTAGAAAATATAGACAACCTACTAAAGCTTAATTTTAGTTTTCCCTGATCGGGATATTTTTTGTTGTAAAAATATAAACAAAAACTCATGATTTTTTCTGAATTTTGTATCTGGGAATCAAAGTAGGTTTTTTAATTTATAATTGAGTTACTTGCTGTTTTTTTTAATTTTCATTATTTTGTGACATTTTCTAGTGGTGAAATAGATGTCAGTACACACTAGGCAGCATAAAATACTTTCTAGTTCGGATGAACAGAAGTATAGCAATTGTTTCAGCATCTCAGTGGCTTCAGCAGGTTTACCCAATGCAATGAATTGCTTTGCAAACTAAAAGGTTCTGAGTGCTGGGTCTTTCACACTTTTCCTACTTTCTTGTGTTCCCTGCAATCATCTTGTTACTGCTGCTGAATGAAGTGACAGTTAAAAGCAGTTAAGAAACATGAGAGTCCAGAAAGAATATTTTCCTAAAATGTATTTTAGGCCCAAACAAAAAAGTAGTCCAAAGCTCAGGAATTAGTACATTGCAGAAGCCAAAGCGCTACGAGAGTGGAGGACCTTCCTTGGTAGAATGAGTATAATGTAAAGGTGTGCTTTCTGGCCAAAATAATACAGAGAAGAAAATGTGTGTAGCTGCTGTTAATTGTCTCTATTTTGTATAAGTAAATTATATAATTTGGTTGTCTCTGTTTGTTCCTCACCCCTGCCCCCGCTAGTGTATAAACAATGAAGCCAGAACATCAAACTATGCAAGTTCTCTGAATTTACCAGACAAAACACTGCAATTTGTTAAAGATCATCCTCTAATGGATGACTCAGTGACTCCAGTGGGAGACAGACCTCGACTAGTGAAACGAGATGTGAAATACACCCAGATTGTAGTAGACAGAGTCAGAGCACTCAATGGCACCATATATGATGTTATGTTCATCAGTACAGGTAAGTTCTATAAAACACTTTTTTTTTTTTTTTTTCTTCAACCATGCATTGATTCTTTAGGCTGAAGCATGTTCTAAGAGAAACTCTTGAGATTTCCATATTCGCAGTGCTTTTAGACCAGCTGGTGTTTTCTTTAAAAAGTAAGGCGCCATGCTGAAGAATCTTATGTGCTTTGAAAAGGTATTGCAGGAAAAGAACTGCAAAACTGCAATGAGTGCAACAAAAACACACCTAGGTTAATCCCTAAGTAGTCATTCTTTGTCCCAAAATGCTATTTCTTCCACAGAGCTCTTTGCGATGGCAGGTTTAATGGATGCCATTGGCACAGAGTTGCTGAAGTCTTCAGCTGAAAAGCAAGCAGATTATTGAGACAAGTTGCAACAGTTGTGCAATTTTTTCCCTGCCTTCTTCTTTTAAGGATCTTACTTAAATATATTGCTTTGTTGTTTCAGATCGAGGAGCCCTGCACAAAGCTATCAGCTATGAAAATGGAATGCATATAATTGAAGAAACACAGCTTTTCCCAAACTTTGAGCCAGTCCAAACTCTCTTGCTTTCATCCAAAAAAGTAAGTGCTATACGCATCACAGCATTCATCTTGCTTTGCTCTTCCATAAAACTTTAGTACCAGTTTGTAACTTTGTTGTGACAACAGACAACCATGACTCTGCACAGAGCTAAAGGCTGCATCTGTAACTCCTCGTGCTGCAGCAGTATCATGTTTGGTAGGTGGCAAGCTTTTGTAGATAGGGGGAAGATGGAGGGGAGCACAGGTGTGCAGGTCTTCACTTGGATTCCATGTCGTGGAAGCTGAAAGCTGTAACGTGTTTTAAGGTACTGGTTTTCAGGTTAGGAGTAATGTAAAAATCCTGACCCCTTGTGGCCATTGCAAATCCATGGGTAAAAATGCTTGGGGGTTTAGCAGAGGAGTGGTGTATCTTTCTGAGGAAATAGACCTAAGAAAAGAGAACAGTCTTGTCTAGCAGAGAGACTCATACTTGTGTAACTAACTGGTTTCTGCTGTCCCAAATCTCGCAGGCTTCTGCATGCTAGAAGTATCGTGAGAGCAGTCACATTGGTGTGGCTGGGGGTGAGGAGTTCTGGTGAGATCCTGTCTGCCTGCTCGGGCACCAGTTGCAGCTCCAGTTCAGGGACACAAGCCTTACTGTAGGCTGTGGTCATTCTGCACTATTAATCAGTCACTGGATTTAATCCTCAAGTGATTTGTGACAGTGGGAGGAGAATTACTGTGTGTACTTTGTAGACTAGTTAGGCTTCTAGCCCTGGTTACTCAGAGCTGCAGATCTGTGAATGTCTATGAAATTATTACCCTAAGCAATGGCTTGTAGCATCAGACCCCTCAACTGGTGAAATTTTGGAGTTTCTTAAGGAAAGAATGACTCTTCTGAAGTGTCTGCTAGTAATACTGGCATTCAGTAGCTACCTAGTGATTGGTAAGTGCTCTGCAGCTAGGCATTTAGGAGTACTGCCAAGATGCGTTAGAAACAGCTTTTATTTTTGTGTAGTACTTTGCAGGCCAACATGATCAACTCTGTGGAAGAGAGCTTTATGCCATAATGCTTTCAAGTTTCTGTTGCATGCTTGTTTGTCCTTTCATGCTTGTAATAGGAAGACTTGCTGACAGAGTGTATTTTCGATAGACAAATGAAAATCAGTGATTAAAAACTTCCATACTAATAGATTTCAGTAAAGAGGTTTATATTATTTTTGTATGACGCATCACAGTGGCAAATCACTACATATATATGTGTGTATATAGAGTGTGTGTGTATATATAAATATTTGCTAGTTTCTGCTTTATCTGCAAAGAAAGCTTTAAATGTCTTGCTTTGACAGGAGGTTTCAGCATTTGCCCTGTGATAGAAGATAATGATAGATAACTGTTCTAATAAATATGCTAATGCCCATTCTTCTAACTTTGGGTAAATTGTGGGATCATTCATACGATGGCTTAATTATGGTTCCTCCGTTTCTGGGGAGTGGAAAGGATAGGCATTACAGCCTGATACCAAAGATCTAGCAGTTTCAGTATGTACGTGGTAGCCAAGGATAGTGTAGAAATGATGGCACCAGATTTATTCTCTGTGAATCCAGGTGCCACGTTCTCAGTTCTTCAAGAATATACTGTATGGGGGCAGTGTGAGACACGGCATAGAGGCCGCATAGGGAATGCACTGTCTTTTCGCAAAGAAAATTCCCTCAGAGCTTATGATTGAAACAAAACACTGCTTCCTGTGTGGCACTGTGGAGAGTAACAGCTTGTATCTTCTGCAAGGGGAAATTTCCATGTTGGTAGAATTAACTTTTGACACATAAAACTAACACTCAAAACTGAAGCAGTGCTACTGAGTACATTCCCATAAAAGCAGTGGTCCTTTTCAGTGATGAGGAGTTGGAGGTTTGGTCAGGTGCCAGTGTCATGAAAGCTGTACAGCTGTGGTACCACCCAAGCAGCGATTACTTCTGCCCCCCAGTGTGAAAATATAAGTTTCTACTTCCTTTGATATCACAGGAGCAATCACAGTCAGTTGCTACTGAAGTGCTTCACAGAGCTGATGGTGGCATCCCATAGTAATGGATTAGCCACAAGAGGGTAAGAATTGTTGCCCTGATGGTGGGCTTCAGATGTCTCTGGAGTCAGAGTCCCTTTTAAAATGGTCTGCTAGCTCACTGCATGTTCTCTGAACTCAGTACTGGATGTAACAGCTGGGAACCATGCTGAGACACTACAACCTGCGCGCAGTGTTGCACTGTTGGCTTGGATGTTAGCTAGCAGAGTGCTAGAGAGATGAGCAGCGCTCAGTGGGTTGGGGGAGCTTTCTGGCAGAGTGGGAAGCTTTTCCTAGAAAAGTGTATGTCTCCACAACTGCAGGCTTCCTTCTGTGGGCACTCCAGCATAGCCCAACGCTAACCTAAGTTAAATTTCAGGATGAAAGACAGCATTGGAATGTAAGCCTCTGAAGATTAATTGTCTTTATTAATTCTCTAGTCAATCTTCTCAGCAGATTCTTTTTTGATCCAGTTTTGTCTTTCATCTTCCAGTGTTAAGAGTTTCCTTGACGGCTGTCTGCACACTTCATATAACTGATTTGTGCTTGGTCTTGTAGCTTCCTCTAGAGACTGCCGTTAGTCAAAATGCATTGCTCATTAGCTTAATTTTAAGACAGACGTCCTCATAATCATTGCATTGAAGAGATTAACCTGTTCTGCCTTCTCATGGCAAACCCCCTTACATCCTTAGTGAAAGAGTGACAGTGAGCCCCAAAACCTAAATTCAGCTCTAAGATGCCCTGTTAGTTGTTTTCTTGAGGCTGTTTGTGATGTCAAGACCAGAAGACTGCACCACAAAGACATGAGGTTTTTGAAGAATGTTTCTCTACTAGAAATCTTTCTTGGATGTCTGCCCATCGCTTTGACCATATTCATCCTGCTGGGGTCAAGCAGTCACTGCACACATGACCCAAGTACATTTCTACATACTGAGATCCATACAGCTGCAGTACAGGAAAAGCAACTCGGTGCTTGGATCTGACTCATTTGCCATGACAACTGTGATAGGGTGCTGATAAATCCAATCGGTATTCTGCTCAGGATGAAGCCAACCCACTGCCAAGGTGGTGTGTGCTATTTGGCTTTGTATGCACAGCCTCTCAAAAGGAGTGGAGGGTTGTTCACTGGTGGTTTTAGGTTGCAGCACAGGCCCCTTTCTTGAGGCTTTGCATAATATGTAAATTCACAGTCTACCTTTAGCCATCAGTTTCCCTGAGCTTCGAAACAGATGAGTAAAATAAGGCAGCTGCCTACCTTTTATGAGAAGGTTGCTTATGATGAGCATGGTCTTTTCCTGCTGTGCTCAGAGCGAGACTTGTTTGGGATCCACAGCAACAGTGGGTCAAACAGCCATTCCATTTATATCCCCCTTTTCATAGGTGTCATGCAAGTGCTGTTCCCTTTGAATGCTATATAGTGTTCCTCCATGAGTAGCAAGGAGGCAGCTAGCTGCATTTGACTCTTGTAAGGCTGATGCTGATGTGGCTTCAGAGACCTGACTGGTAGAAGAGCTGAAGGCAGTAGGGCTGCTTTGGGTTGACAGGAGCAGGTCCTGTGCATGGCAAGCCTTGCCTGTTCAGGCTCGCTTGTGCCTGCTGCAGCCTTGTTATCAGCGCAGGCTTGCCTTGCCTCATACGAGGACTGTCAGTGCATTTGTATTTATGGAAAAACTGTGTGAGAAAGCCATGGTTAGACATGGTTACTTTCCATTCTCTTAAACTGTATCTATTTCAGATTTTTGTTCTCTTTCTGTGCTTCCAGCATGACTGAATATTTTCAAGATAAGTTTCCTTTCCTTTCTAGAAGTAAAAGCTAATCAAAATGCTTATTCCCCTCACGCCTCAGTTTTTACAAACATGGCTGTGTGGATGCAACTCTTTACTTTTAATAGTTATGAAATTGTTTCATGAATTGGATTGTTTGGCTTTGAGCTGTGGGGTTTTTTGTTGTGCTTTGGTTTTTTTTAGGGCAGAAGATACCTCTATGCTGGTTCAAATTCTGGTGTGGTTCAGTCTCCGGTGGCATTCTGTGACAAGTACACCACTTGTGTTGACTGTGTTTTAGCAAGGGATCCTTACTGTGCCTGGAAACCCCTTGAAGCTTCCTGCATTGATATTTTTAAAGAAAGTGAAATTGAAAGGTAATGGGAGCCTTTGATTACCTTGCAGTTACAATCAGTCTTGAATCAGCCTTGCCCCTTACTGATAACTGCTATTTTTTTTTAACTGGATATTTTCAAATTTAGACTTCTTCCTATCCATCTATGTTTGCTTGTGCTATTTGGGTAAGATGAATCTTACTCCATATGAGAGGGTGGGCGGGCTGTAGGAAACAAGATTTGAAGTTGTAATGCTTGAACTTCTTTTGTAGGAACTGGATTCAGAACATAGGTGGAGATGCGTCTTCTTGTTCTGGTGAGTTAGTCTTTGAAGAGCTATTTCACATGTCTAGGTGGAGTAGTGAAAGAATTGTGTTTAGTTCAGCTTGGGTTTTGTGATTATCTGGACATTCATTTGTATTTCAACAGGTATGATATTCTGTTTTTGAATATTTGAGCATCTGTACAGCCTGCATGTTGTCTTAAAATGTCTGTACATATTTCAGTGTGCAGTGCACAAAACTCTGAAATGAGCAGGGGCACCTCAACAGTGACTTGTGAATGAAAACAGTGTTTACATAAGCACCTCTAGTGCAGAGGCCTCTGCCTCTGTGGTACAGCATTTGACACTCTACTGTGAGCCTTGATAAGTGCTTGGTTATTGCTGCTGGATCAGATGAAATGATCCTGAAATAACGGTTTTATGGTGAGAGGGGAGGGGGAACTCAAAGTGTGGCACAGAGCAGCTGAAGTACTCTCTGTAGTGTGTTAAGGCAAGTAACCACAGGTCCTTTCTCTACAGTGTGTGCTACTGCCACCAGATCAAGGAGATCTTAAAGAGTAGTAGTGTTACTGCAGAAAAAAAAAACTCTTAAGAGTTTGATTTACTCAGTTTTTATTTCTAATCCAAGCAAAACATGGACCACCATGAGAGTTTTGCTTGTTAGTATTTTTGTTAATTTGTGGCGTTGTATTGTTGGTGTGCCGTAAACGCTGATATTTTTTTCAAGAGAGTTTAAGTTGAGTAACATCACTCTGTTCAGTTTCTTCTTGGATATTTCGTAGTTGCTGATTTACTTAAATGCACTAATTGTGTATAAAGTGATACCAAGTTCAGCATCTTGTCTCAAACAATGACTTGTCTCAGATGCACGCTCTGTTGCGGATCAACAAGGTCTCATCTTTATCTAGAAGTGGAGGCTGTCTTGGAGTTTGAGGTGTCCCGTCTCTTAGTCTGTCTTGATGTCTCGCATGCAACTGTACCTTGGTATTTCACTGAGGTTCTTGCATGCTGTCATCATGGTCTTGTGAGGTAATCTGAATGCCGTAATCTTTACGTTTCTGTTAAGACTATAGCACAGTCTTGTGAAACTGTACGGATTAGAGCAAAGAGGGAATCATTGCTGATACTCTGCACGTTTATTTTGATGTTCCAGATAAAGTAAGAGAGAATTCCCTACAGCATACATTCAAGCATGGGAGCACAGCAGAACTCAAGTGTTCTCAAAAGTCCAATCTGGCACAGGTAGTTTGGAAGTTCAAAGATGATGTGCTGAGAGTGGAGAGCCCCAAGTACCGTCTTCTGGAAAAGGCGCTGCTCATCTTCAATTTATCAGAAGGAGACAGTGGTGTTTACCAGTGTTTGTCAGAAGAAAAAGTGAAGAATAAGAAATTTTCTCAAGTGCTGGCTAAGCATGTTTTGGAACTGAAAAAGATCCAGCATACCACAGTGGGCCCTACTGTGGCAGCTGCACCAACAGAAGGTAATAGCAATGTGCCAAAAGTGTCAGCTCTGTCAACTGAGGGGTCTGCCGCTTACACCTCGACCACTCAGATGGTACCGGTAACGACCGCAAGGATAGTAACAAAGCCCATTGGCCCTGTCCTAACAAGTGCAGCCTCCAACACAGAGCTCTTCAATTCAGTTCCTGACGCAGTCCCGGAAAAGACAATGTTCCTCAAGTCAAATGATAACTTCTTGTTGATGTTCCTCTTCCTCTTCTTTTTTATTCTCTTTTTGTGCCTGCTCTCCTACAACTGTTACAAAGGGTACTTGCCAGGGCAGTGCTTGAAATTCCGCTCTATCATGCTGCTTGGTAAGAAGAAAACTAAGTCAGATTTTTCTGACTGTGAGCAAAGTGTGAAGGAGACGCTGGTGGAGCAAGGCAGCGTCAGCCACCAGAGTGGGGAGCAGCCGAAGCCAGCGCACGACACTGGCTACGAGACTGAGCCTGACTGTGGGAACGGCCAGCTGCAGCCTGGGGATTCACAGGCCTCCCAAGAGGCCAAGGACAAGCCCTTTGATGTCAAGTGTGAGCTCAAGTACGCCGACTCGGATGTGGAGGGAGACTGAAGGACCCTGTCATCCATTTCAGTGGTGGAGACCAGCTGTGGTCCTGTGGCTGGCTATTGAGCATGGAGAGCGGGGGTGTGACAGCTGAGCCATAGCATGGTTTACATGCTTAAGCTGTACAGGAAGCCAATTTGCATTCAGATCTCGCCAGATTAGAGAAGTGGTGTTCTTGTCTGCATAACATAGCATCTTTTTTTCTGTACTGTCTTTTTTCTTTTCTTTTTTTTTTTTTTTTTTTTTTAAATGGCCAGTTCCAGATCACCATTTTTTTGTTCCCAAGTTTTGCCCCACCAAGCACTTTGCTCTGGTGAACAGTTACTTGCTTGTTCTTCAGCCCTGTTCTTCCTTAGGATAAAGTAACTTTCTAATTCAGTTGGCTTTAAAATTACTTCAGTCTACACATATTTTTAGCTGCCATTAAAAAAAGACCTAGTTTCATTTTAATTCCAAATTGGAAATTAAGTTTAGTTTATCAGATTGGTAAATTACAGACTTTTGTCCAGATTGGGACAATTTTTTTTCTTTGCTTCCAGTGATTATTTTTAGTTTTATGCTTTGTGTTTTGGCACACTAGGTCTCTCTAGTTGGTTAAAGTGAATTTTTTTAACTGCTTTTTAAGTATCTTAGATTTTAAGGTATAATGGGGATAGCATTGGTTTGATTTGTGTAAGACTCTCAGGGATAATCTTGTTTAAAGGCTTTTTTTCTTTGCTGCTTTCTAGAAATTTAGGTACAACAGTATCAGTACAAAACATGGAGTGAATGGGGAAAAGAGAGGGATTTAGGAATGCTTTCCTTTTTTTTTTTCTTTTTCCCTTTTTTTTCTTTTTCCCTTTTTTTTTCTTCTTCCCCCCTTTTTTTTCCCCCTTCTTAACCAGCAAGCTGGACATAGTCACATTCTATTTTCTGTACAAAACTGGATTTTTTTGTTTTGTTTTGTTTTTTAATTAAAACAGTACAGGCAAGCAACTGTCAGCTAGCAGTGACGTGAGGGAGGTTTTTTGCACTGTGGAAGTGGAACAGCAATGGAGAAGAATTAACTACAATAATTCAGCTAATGACTCGCTGGAATGGACTGTTAGGATACAGCCTGATGAGAAAACATTGCCGATTTTTTTTTTTCTTTTTTTCAGATTTAGAAATAACTCAGCTTGTTTTTGTGGCAAATCTTTGCATCGTCACCCTTTCTGGATGACACCTTCCAATCTCCTATGCAACTGGAGACTGAAACTGGAGCTGCTCAAACAATCGGTTATTTGAACTGTTTATGTGAATCATGCCTGCAAACGTGAAAGTGTGCATTTGTTCTCAGCCTGGTTCACAGCAGCACTATTTGTCTGTAAAAGCATTTTGTGCGGTACAGTCCTGAAGAATTGTTCCTCTCACTGCATCTTTCTGTAAATATTACTAGAAGTAGAGGTCATTTTAACAGCAAAGAGCAGTATGCCTGTGCTGCTTTTCTGTGTTGAACTTTCATGCGAACATAATTTAGACCACCTTAGTGTAAACAGTTTATATTTGATAAGATTCAGTTTGGTTTTATTTTTCTATCTTTAATTATGCACATATAACAGAATAAATATTAAAATAAATTGTATTATATCTTGACTTTTATGAAACTTGACACAATGACACTGCTTTCCATCTTGCAAGTACTGATGTTGCTTGTGGTTTCCTTTAAGGGGGAAAAGTGAGAACTTTAGTAATTAATTTGAAGCAGATTCTCTTCTCTGCTTTATTTGAATGGGTTATAACCTGGAGAGGCGGGAAGGAGGGAAATGGGCAGGATGGAGAAAGAAACGTGGGTGAAAGAGGAAAGCGCTCTTCTCTAGGGGCCTAGGGACACTTGTCTTACTACCTTTCTAAAATCCATTTGTCTTTTTGCATTATTTCTTCAGTGTGTGATGTATTTCTTACAACTTTTTTCCTTAGTACCCTCTTTTTTTTTTTCTTTTCTGTCCTCTTCTGTCACACAGCCTCATCTCCTATACTTTTCCCTCCTACTGGTACCTCCTTTTTGTCCTGTGTGGGACGTGATTCACCTCCTTCACTCACCAGTACCCAGCCTGATGTTTGGTCTAGCACAGACCCTGTAAAGATCATGTTGTTGCCACCTTTCCTAAGTGACCAGGCACAGCATGTTAGTGTCCGGGGACCCTTTCACCTCTTCTGCCAAGCCATGGGTAAGTCGGGGGACCCCTGTATAAACGAGCATTTCTGCATTAAAGGTTTAGATATGTCACTATGCACTGTATACATTTTACTTTTTTGATGTTTTTAAAAAAAAAGAAAGAAAAAAAAAAAGGAGGAAAGAAAAAAGACCATTTCACAATGTATTATGAACATGCTGTTACCAAGAATCTGGCAGTGCAAATACTGTACTGTAAATTGCAGGCTCTGATTTAGCAGCCTGCTTTAGTATGTTAATAGTCAATTGACTTTAATAAGCTCCCTTGCATGCTGAAGGAGTTCACTGAATGATGATTGCATACGGATGTTTAGCAGGTAAATATTTTCACTGTCAGTATGTATGCCATTTAAAAAATACACTTGTGTTGGATTTAGTGTATTTTTCTGCACTGGGTCAGTTACTCCTTTTTAGTCTCATTTCAAATGGTAAAGTACTTACAGTAATGACAAATTCCATTTTATAAAGGAACTTCATAATTTTTAACTTCCCTTTATCTGAGGTGTACAGGAGAAGGGCAAAGCTATTTTTTCTATCGAAGTTCAACATTTGTCTTTCAGCTTTTGTTTGGGTAGTAGTTGCCTGTTGAAGCTAAGGGAGATTTAATGGATATAAACACGTCTTAAAACGTAACCTTATGCCTTAAAAGAAGAGAATATAGATACAGATTAAGTAAAAAAGTAGCATTGTTTCACATTGGTCTGTCTGTGAGTCAGTGTGTGTCTTAGTGTTACATGGAATCAGATCAAAATAGATAAATCTTTATTACAGTAGGCCTTAACAAAGGCATGATTTGTATTTCTGTGGCTAAAAAGAACAGCAGCAGGATTCAGGGTTCTTTCAGCAATTATTTGTTCACTGCTGCTATAGACAGTTGAGAAACTTTTTGTTGTCCACCATAGGAAAAAAAAAATTGCAAAAATAGCATAAATAGCACAAAGAGTTTAAAGAGTTTGGTAATTGCTCTACAGATCTATTTTAAAACTCCTTTCTTTTTCCAGCAGTGTCTGTTTTAACATCATACTCGTGTGCTGCGTTTTAAAAAATGCCAGTAATTGTAATTGCCTTGGCAGTGAACTTAAGAATGAAGGAGCAGTACCCTAAAGTCAGCCTGTGGAATTCACTCCTGGGGAGGTAGGGACGAATAGTGGAAGAAACCCTGACAAGAATCAGCCATCAGAAAGGTGCAGTGATGGTACAGGCAGGGGCAAGATGAGCCGGCTGTGGAAGCCTTTCCGACTTTGTTCCAAAAGCAGTGAAGGACTGGACTTTGTGTTACAGATGGGGGTTTTACTTACTCCCTTGGGGAAACAAGACATTTGGCTGATGCATCACACCCTCCTCTTACCCAGAATTACAATATTATTCCACTCATTTAAAAAAACAAACCAAACAACAAAGGCAAACCAGCATACCAATCTAATTTAGATCTTTTGCATCTTTATGGGACTGGCACATGAGGATGTATAGATTTATTGGGGGG